CCCACCTGATAATTACAAAAATAAAATTAGTAACACCACCAACCATAATAATCATTGTTGTCATTATTATTGTGATACTGCTTCTAGTACTACTCCTACTACATGTACTAGGACGAAGGAGGGGAAGAGGAAGAATCTTATTGTTTATTTTTTGTATTATCGAGGCATACAAATGCACAGGGAGGTAAGAGAGGGAAAAGTAAGGCGACGAAGAGGGAGAGAGAGGGGGAGAGAGAACGAGAGGGGGTAGCTTATGGCCCGGGTTCAAATTCAGTTCTCTTTAATTTATTTGACCCAGTACTGATGATCATAATTTTATCTACCATGTGATTGCCATGTGTACGCCACACCGAATAGCACTAGCTCACATTTTGTTATTGTTGTCAAGAACTTATTGGCATCCAGCCAGTAGATTTTCATCATGTGTTTGATCTTGTATTGAAAAAAAGATCAAACACATCACCATAATCTACAGAGTGCAACCAAAAATTTCTTAACAACAATTGAAATTTCTTTCAGGAAGCCTAACACTAAAAGCTGTTTTTGATTCAAAGAGCATCGTAGAGACGATGAACAAATAATAATAATAATACATTCACTTCTATTTTCCCCGCCAAATAATCCGAACAAAAGAATCAACCGAGGGTAATCAACTGTTAAACGAATTTATCATGAGTCCTTGAAAAATTAATTAATACTGCTTGTCAAATATTATTGAAGAACAGCAAAGGCGAACGCGATAGTCGCTACAATTCAGAAATCATTGCTTGCATTGCTTTTCTCTCAAAATTACCGTGAGATATCAAGCTACATAGAATAATGATCGACACATAAGATATTGTCTTGAAAACAGTCAGAAACATTAGAACTTGAATGAATAAAACATAATGCAAATGAATAAGACTAGAATGAATAGGACACAAGTTAATTTCTACCATTTAAATCATCCAGTACCAAATACCTGAGCAAAATTCGAACCAGATGCATTAAATGGTAAACTTAAAGACAATGCTTCATGACAATTGTCAATTGTCATGAGTTTATCGTCTAGACGTATTGCAAAAGATAATCAGAATAATGATGATCAGAATGATACCTCTACTATAAGGCCTAATGCTACATGTACTATATTACACTACTACCATTGTAGATTATGCTGATAATACAAATGATAATAATGATATGATAACAATTATAATAATACTATATACTTATACTAATCGTCATCAAAATCATCATGTTCATATTCATCATAATGATAACAATAATAATGATTATAATAATTACAATAATAACTTATCTTAACGATAATAATCATGATAAGGATAATAATCACAAAAACAAACATAATAATTACAAAAATAACATTAGTAACACCACCAACCATAATAATAATTGTTGTCATTATTATTGTGATACTGCTTCTAGTACTACTCCTACTACATGTACTAGGAAGAAGAAGGGGAAGAGGAAGAATCTTATTGTTTATTTTTTGTATTATCGAGGCATACAAATCCACAGGGAGGTAAGAGAGGGAAAAGTAAGGCGACGAAGAGGGAGAGAGAGAGGGAGAGAGAACGAGAGGGGGTAGCCTATGGCCCGGGTTCAAATTCAGTTCTCTTTAATTTATTTGACCCAGTACTGATGATCATAATTTTATCTACCATGTGATTGCCATGTGTACGCCACACCGAATAGCACTAGCTCAAAAGATTTTACTCACTAGTATATATAGAGAGAGTAAAGCTACATACACTTAACTGAAGGAAAGAAACCTATAGAAAACGGACTGGATATTATTGAAAATACTATTCTAAACAAGAATGTACTACATGTACTACATTACGTTACAATTTCACGAGAGAACTAGAACTCGATAGGGGAAGAAAAGAAGAAGTGATGAAAATGAAAGAAGACTAATAGCATGAGAGGAAAGAAAAGAGCTAAGAAGACAAGAAAAGGGTGTAAAAAGGAAAAGGAAAAGGAAGTGCAAGAGAGAGAGAGAGAGAGAGAGATAGCCTTGAGCTTTTGATCGGCTAATGAGTAATAAATGAAACAGATTTTGAGCGGACTAATTATCTTTCGCCGGAGAACTTGCATAAGGAGCTAAAACTTGATGTTTTTTAAATCAAACATTATGGGGAATAGCAAAAAACGGCTGAGCATTTATTGCACTAATTGCCAGAGGAGCATTCATGTCTTCCACGAGGCAGCACTTTTGGATCAGAGAGCAATTTAATTGTCGGTGGAGCATTGTCTTTTTTGGGGTACTTTCCCGGCCCCCCCCCCCCCCACTCAGTGTTATTTAGGGTACGCATATGCTCGTACCCTCTTTTTGAAAGCACCCCCTATCTGAGGACTGCCAACATTTCCGAACCCCCTTTCGCGGGCTTTTCGCGGGCTTTTCCTGCCTTGGAGACCCCCCTAAATCAGGAAAAATGCTCAATGTACCCCCCTAAATTCGGAATAATTTCTCAGGGGTCCAAAGAGATGAGAGGAAAAAAGAAAAACACCCCCTTTTTAAAGAAATCTCCGGGTGAAAAGTCAAATACACCCCTTTTTTTACAATTCTCGGGCCGGACTTTGTCGCACGAAAAGTACCCCTTTACCGGACATTTTGGCAACACGCATGCGGTCATTCCGACCTCTGAGTGGGGGGGCCGGGGGTACTTTTAGGGAGGAGCAACAATTATTGTCGTAGTAGCCTTTGTATTTTACGGGCCACTTTTTTAGCGGAGCAAATGTCGGCGGAGCAATTGTCGCGTTTTGCGAAGCAAATGTCACCGGAGCAATTGTCGCGTTTTGCGGAGCAAATGTCGGCGGAGCAATTGTCGGCGGAGCAACTGTCGTTCGAGGAGCATTTGTCACCGGAGCAATTGTCGCGTTTTGCGGAGCAATTGTCGGCGGAGCAATTGTCGGTGGAGCAAATGTCGGCGGAGCAATTGTCGGCGGAGCAATTGTCGGCGGAGCAAATATCGGCGGAGCAATTGTCGGCGGAGCTAAAGTCGGCGGAGCAAATGTCGGCGGAGCAACTGTCGGCGGAGCAACTGTCGCGGAGCAAATGTCGCGGAGCAATTATCGCGTTTTGCGGAGTAAATGTCGGCGGAGCAATCGTCGGCGGAGCATGTGTCATGGAACCAGATGAGCGGGTTGTGAGTAATGGTGGTGTCTTTGTTTCACTGTCCATTCGTTGGGAGAGCTCACACCGAATTGCTTAGGGCCATCTTGAGATCACATTTCGCTGTAAACGCTCCGTGTTTCACCTCGATGTGCCAAGAAATGTGACGCGTACGGCGTCTCCAATAGCATGAACAGCGAAATGAAAACTTATAAAAACCGAGAACCCCCAAATGCTTCGAAAACATCGAATGACGGACTGGGAGTAGGACTAGCGAGCCCACATTGTTAAAAAAAAAAAGAATTGCGTAAAAAAGCATGGGGGTCTTATGAAATTGTTATATAAATAATGCCGTGAATGATAAACCAGGAATTGAACATATACAATTGGAGAGGGTTTAAAATGTCATCAGAGACAACGAAAGACCTGCGCGTGTGTGTGCGTGCGTACGTGTGTGTATATAATACATAAACATTTGTTTTCCTGAGAAACTTAAATCCTACCCCATTAAGATGAAGCCAAGATCATACATTTCGGGTAGGAAATTTTAATTCTAGTGGTATTTGTGTAAGACATTGCAGTTAGCAAAATTTGCTTTTTTCGGCACTCCCTATTCACGGTTAAAGCAGGGAGAAATATACGCGTGACGGTTTTCCATTCAATCAGCTGTATTGAACGCATCAACAGGTGACGCACAAGTCTATTGTATAAGTCTTTGCTATCATGTAATTATAAATAAAGTAAAGATAAATAATAATGATAATAAACAAATAATGACATATAATCAGAATATAAAAAGACACTTGTATCAACTCAATGCCTTTGAGTTTATCAGTCATTACGCATGTGAGGACAACAGAGAATAATAAACCAAACAATTGTTCTTCTTGCAATGAATATATGTTTTAATGAAAGAATTCGTAAACACAGGGTAGGAGAGTTTGCTCAGTTAAATAAGCATGTGCGTTTGAGATGAACCTCTACAAATACAAATTAAAGAATGATATCATCTATATAGCAAAAATATCACCACGATAAAACCGTGTTTATACAACTGTATGATGAAGGTTTAAAAAAAGAGAGAAAGAAACGGCGAAAGGATGAGAGAGAGAGACAGAAAGAACGTGGGAGCTAGCTTGTTAGCACTTTTTGAGACATGTGCTCCCCACCCCAGGTGGATTGAGAATACTGAGTAATAATTTCTTTCTCACTCTCTATCTCTCTTTTAATGAAGGCTCGTTCAGATATGATACGGTAAAAAACAGCAAAAATATAAAAAAATTGCTGTGCGTTTTTACTGAGCTACGTGTTATGAGGTACAGAAAAGTGACGCTTATTTCTTATTTTACGTCATCATAAAGAACATCCGGTTTTGCCGCGTCGTTTCCTAACGAGGCCTAATGAAGATGATATCTCTTCAAAGAAAATAAGTTTTGGGTTAAAGAAGTTAGCACAGTGATATGAAACCTAGGGTTAGTAGAATTTAGACAGTCCATCATTTTGGGGGTATAGACTCGGGGACGACCCTGGAATACCACTTCAGTCAAAATGTGTCGAATCTTTATACGCAGTGGTATCCCTCTCATTGGCATCGTGTGCGGGACATGGTCATTCCAAATTTTGCGTAAAATGGGTAATTTGAGAGAATATTCGGGGATTTGAAGTGGAACAAAGGGATTATCGTTTAAGAGCATAACATTTGATAAAAAGGGGGTGATGTCTGGTCGCAATCATGTGAATGCGTCTTTTTATGACTTTGTACTCGATAGGTTTAACACAATTATTTTATCTAGAGCCTAATATGTGTACCAACTCTCGTTCAATAGTGATCATGTTTTCTATTTTGTTGAGGAAAATGTTTTTGAAAGTATGCAAAATAAGGGGAAATTTTCAAATCGGCTGTAACGATCACGCGTCACACCTTTCAATATGAAGTGACACCACCTGTAGTCTCAGCTCGGCCAAACCCAACCGTGTATGAATAAACGGCCGAGCGAACGTGCAGAAAAAGCCTCTATATAATATCTTAGCTCCCAGTCCGCCCCAAGTTCAGTGTGTCCGCTGCATTATAATATCTATTTGTCCTTGAGTTCGGCCAGGAGATCAGCTAGAGCCTGGAGGATATCTTTCTTCTTCAAGTTAGAATCCATTTTGTCATTGGATCGTTCTTCAGCAGCCACCTGTTTGTAAGAAAATAAAACACGATGATAAGGATGATGATGATGATGATGAAAAAGATGATGATACTCTGCCAGCGTGAGCAAAGCTCACTAAGAGCTTACGTTTCAACATCTTTTTGAGGGTCTTTGCAGTCGAGTATAACACATAACCATATGTACCATATGTATGACGTACTTACATGACTTGTAAAATGGGACCAATTTATTAACAAAACAACGCGGTCAAATTCAAAATGCTGCAATAAATTATTCACACATATATCATTTTTCTATTTATCATCTTCTCTTCTCTGACCCGATACAGGAACAGCCTGATAATATCCGTGGCAGCATAGAGTATCATTAGACAGGGTATTTGTAACCCATTACCATTAAATATGGTTAAATGTCACATAGGTTACAACTTTTGAATTGGAAGCTACTAAAATTGATCACACCTTTTTGATATGTACTGTACATAATATACATACACACACAAACATGGTGCATTTACTACATGTAGTTGAAAGCAATACATCATTTTGTCACATCCATTCTTATCTGTCTTTGAGGATGATCCTTACCTTTTCTTCTTCTGTCATGTCTCCTTTTTCATAAAACTCCAAATCCTCCATTTTCCTGTTAAAATCTGATAAAATATTTACAGAAAAGGGGAGATTAAAAAACGTTTTCAATTCATTCCTGTTGCATTATTTATACTTAAAAAAAGATTCCATTCTTTCATCGAATATGCATAACGCCTGCGTCTGAATGAGAACTACTTTCCGTCTATAGTGATCAGGTGGTAATTGTTGTTTTACCTTAGTCTTGTTTATATCCATCAATACCTTCTACATACCCTATAGCAATCATTATACTTATACATATTTTTTTATTAAATGTCTAACCAGGCAATCTCAGCTTTGATGACGATAAAATAATTCTAGAAGTGAATTTAAAAAATCACATTATCGAAAGGTTAAAGAAAAAAATACGACAAACAAAACACTACGTAAAAAACAACAGCATATTATTGAAAAGTTACAAAAACAGACAAATACGAAAGTACTTCTAATATTTATCCGAAAAAAATTGCCCAGGCGAAATTGGCTCAAAACTGGCCGCCCGGCCGCCGAGCAGGCTACTTTTAGGTGTTGTGGCCATAGCTTAAACATATTTTTAACAAATAATGTTGTGTATACATTGATTACATTTAGGAGGGTACTTTTACATGAACATATTTCAGGAATTTGGAGGCAATTGACCTACAGTATTCATTTTCAAAAAATATTTACCGGCCGCACGATGATTTTACATAATCTTCCTTATACCTTTTGTACACATTGCCTCGTTGAGGGCTTCATATTCATCGTGCGATAATCGCCGTTTTTTAAGTATTTGTCTTGTAATGTTCTCCATTTTCCCATTATAAATATTTCTTCCAATGATCGCTTCCCGTCACCTCTTTATATATAATTCATCCCTTCTCCCATCTGTTATTATTTTCGTTTCAATTAGCTGTCTGTAAATTATTTATTCACCGGGCATATTCACAACAAGCCTTGCTTTACCGTAGGCCCCTCCACTAATCGCTATAGAAAATGATGAAGTGTTTCAACCTATTTGTACAAGCATTGCTTTTTAGTGGACCCCTCTGTTTCCAGTTATGTATTCGCTAATTTTTGTAAATGTTTATAATTGATTTGTAATGTTCTGTTGAAACCAGAAACAAATTGATTTGAATTGGATTGAATTAGTTGACTTGTATGCTTTAGTAATACTATTACGACAAAACCATTTGTATCGTTTTAGTTTGTTAGGCTAGTTTTTACACAGAAGTTATGTTATGTCTGTATGAAAGATAAATACCAATATGTGGAAAATTAATGAACTTGAACTTGAACCTATTTGACTGTAAAGGTTTACCGACTTTTTGTCTGAATGGTTGTCGTGGGGGTCCCTGTCATGAACATACCGTACTCTAAACACTGGACTTCGGCGTCTTGTTCGTGGGTGCAGGAGGAAGGAATCCCGGAGGAACGGACCGGACAGTCCATGATTGAGGGCTCGTCGCCCGTACAATTAACATCGGCAAGCAGAGTCGATCCAGTTCCTGAGCCAAAGAGCTTCCAATCAGCAACATCAAAGAAAGAACCACTCTACTGATTATGCTATTCTACAATTATGTGACAAAATAACTGATTCCCTTTCTAAAAAAGAACACACTGTAGGTGTTTTTATTGAATTGAAAGCATTCGATACCATGCACCATCGTATATTAATATATAAATTAAAAGCATATGGAGTTAGAGGGATTGTACTTTCTTGGTTTGAAAACTATTTGCGTAATAGACATCAATATGTTATGTTTAAATCTACAACATCTAATATTTCCACCATAGAATGCGGAGTACCACAAGGCTCCATATTAGGTCCCCTACTGTTTTTAGTATATATGAATGATATTGTTAATGCATCACCACTCCTAACATGTTTTGTTCGCAGACGATACCAACATATTTTTATTCGCATAAAGACTTAAACATTCTTATTACAACCCTCAATTTAGAATTAAATAAATTATCGTCTTGGTTCAAATCCAATAAACTCTCTTTAAATATGAATAAGACTAATTGTATTTATTATATGTACTTCATTATGATATTTGTATAGATGACATGCCCATAATTGAAAAAGAAGTTACAAAATTCTTAGGTGTAATGATTGATTCAAACCTAACTTGGAATAGTCATATTAACAACATTTGCATATTTTTGTTTACAATAGTGATATACATTCTTATCCCACACGACACTCATCCGATTTCCACTTAACCAACCCTAAAATTAATCGATAAGACATCAAGGTCCAGACATTTGGAATGCTTTACCTGACACTATTAAACACTCTGCAACTCTTTATTCATTCAAAGCATCGATGAAAAATATTTATTATCTACATATTCAAAAACATCATAAGGGTCTCAGAGGTTTTGATTGTTTATTTAAATTAATTTTAGATGACCAGTTCATTAACAATACGAATCGAACACTTACTTCACCTACACACACCCACTTGCACACACTTGCACATTTTTTTCTTTCTTTAATTTCTTTCCACTTTTATTCAGATACTTTCTGAACAAAATCTTTATACGTGACTCTCTATTAACCTACATACTCCTATTACAGCGCCATGTACCCCCCCCCCCTCTTCCCGGCTGCTATCGACTCAAGCATATTTGCTTATGATAGTTGGCCTCTGCATTTATCTTGATTATTTTTACTTACCCCCATACTTTCAAGCTTTCAATTATACATTTTTATTTGTGTGTATTCAGTTGTCACTCTTTATGTAAATCAATTATATTATATACTATTATTGTTATTTGAATGTTTTATATTTGATTTATCAATAAATGCAGAAACATCTGCTAAAAAAAGGGTGATAAAAGGCTAAGTCAGTGAAGCCCAACTGCTTGCAGACGACATTAGCGTCCTCTTGCGACCATCCAATGCCACACACTGTTCCCCACTCTCCATCGCGGTAGACCTTGACTAAGCCCCACCCTAGATTGTCTTGCTTATCTACTCCTCCAAACCGGACGACTATATGGAAGGGATGAAATGATGATGAAGAAGATGAAGAAGGTAATGATGATAATGTTGATAATATTATTAACAACAATACTACTACTACTACTACTACTACTACTACTACCACTAAATAGTAATAAAGTTATTATTAACATCGATTATTAATAACGAACGCAAACTTTCATTCCCTCATGAGGGTGCCGCACTATAAAACCAACTCCCCCATTTAGTGTTAGACAGGCCCAGTCTAAACAGTCATTTCCAAATCTGTACTTGAGAAAATTACATTTTTAATTTAAGAAATATCAGAGTCTGTTCTTTTCAGTAGTAACAAACCAAAACTAGATTTGTAATACTTGTTTGGAACAAGTATAGGTGGGCTGATCCAACAAAAAATTGAGAGAAAATAAAGGGTTCATTTGAGATAGCTTTTCGTCTCAGCTACAACATACTCGAAGTTCAGCGAAAACGAAACTAAAACAACGTAGATATTGCTCGCGAAAGATGGGAATGTAGAATCAAGTTTTGAGAAAAAATCATGTCCCATAGAAAATACACGCAAAATGTGAAAAAGTGACTGATGCCTTTATCAAAATGATGAATGATTAAAACTGCATTTGTAGAAAATTGTCTCAGCTAGAACATATCAAAATTTGGAAGAAAATCGATCAATATTTACAGAGATACAATCAATTTTCCATAAATATGCTGACTTCATAATATGCAAATTCGTATTTTGAGTTCCAAGGCCAATATGATGATGTCACGATACACTTAATGGCCAAATGAGAAATGAAATCATATCTCCGACTTATAATTTATCAGGATATTAAAAACAAATTGGGGTCACCTTGCATCCTAAAGAGCCACAATGGATTTTGTATAGGCATGTTTTTGCCCATATATGCTATGTATTACAAGAGCTCGCGCGCACAGAAATTTATGTTAAACGGTTGATCATTCCGTTATTAATAGTCATAAAGAAATAAACTTTGTATCAATTCGTTTGTAAAAATAGGTGCAATATTATTAAAGAAAAAAATGGCGATTCTATGTTGTGTAATAGTTTTACGCGCGAAAACGCGCGCGCATGCGCGCGTGCGCGATTTTTTATAAAATGCTTAGAATGGCCTAAAACGTATGCAAAATGATTTTGAGACGATTTTGAGCATTTCAAAATTTTGCGCGCGCATTGACGCGCGGACATACGCGCACGCGCGCGTTATTTGACCTCAAATTGACCGGACGGATATTGACCTTGATCATGATAAATATGAATGAGAAATGCCTTTTGGTTATGAAGATATGATCATGAGTTGATTTTCGTAAAATTTTACAAAATGGCGCCTAGATGACGTCATCAGTAAAGGTCAATGTTGAAAACCTTATTGTGCTTTGTACATATGCCTATACATATGTGTGCCAAATTTCAAGGCATTTGATTGAGCCATTTCCAAGTTATCTTGCCAACAAAAAAGTGGTTAGAAATAAGAAAAATATATAATAATAAATAAATAAATAAATAAAGGCAATTCTAACGAAATTATAAGGTGGTCTGTACGTTATACAGCCCACCTGAAAAGTATTAAAGCTTTCCCGTTTAGTTTTCTATTACTCGATTTGAAAGGACGTATATTATAATTGTATAAGCTGGAAAACGACTATTTTTTGTGTTGATATCATGGTGTATAAAAAAAGAATGATAATAATCCAAGATATGATATATTATGTATGTAATTAAAATTTGTTCCATTTCTTTTTTCTTAAACCTATAATTTGTACGGGGCCTCTATGGCAAAACAGTTTTAATACTGAAGGGGGTTGGTAAAGGCCGAAGATAATAAGCATGAGCTATACTGACCTCGTTTCCTAACTCTAATCCATCCCATGAGTTACAAGTGAGTTATAGATATATATGAAGTATTTAGTGGGTTTATTTTGCTTTCTAATGCATCCGTACAATATGGCAGAGCTTGAGGGGCCTGGCAGAGCCCATGCTGCGGGTTCCGGGGCGGAGCCCCAGGATGCTCTCGAGTTTATTTGACTTTTTTTATTAAGAGAGAAAGAGAGTTTATCTCTGAAATGAAAGGACTCTCGAAAGTCAAATAGCCCTTTCATTTTATTTTAGTAATAAACTCTAATCCATCCCTTGATATCAAAATTGCACTGCTCCTATAGTGTGCTTTTTCGCACTCTCCTTGATCTATAAAGGGTGCTTTCTTTATTAGATCATCAACAGAAACAAAATTCTAGGCCACGAACTTTGCGAAACGTGACTAGATTCAAAGTATGCTTAAATGGGGGCATTGATGTATGTAGAAAAAAACAGGATTAAGATCCCATGAAACGTTTCGAAATGTAAAAGAAGAATAAGAAAAATCACGTTGAGATTCGACCTTTATGTCTAGACGTTGCCTAATGCGTTTCGTATTGGCATTATTTTCCATCTCAGTGGTTTTAGACGTTATTTATATGGATAATAAGGATTAAGCTGTCTGGGTCTTTGGAGATAATGCTTCAAAACAAATCGACCATGCTTTATTTCATTATTTAGGGTCTGTTCCTACTATTTATTCTATTTTCATTGCCAACCCTCGACCACGAATTTATTATGTATTTCACGGAGGAAAGTTTGCATAGGAGAACTTCAATCGAATTTCGCTAAACAGTTTTCTGTTCACTAAATAGATGCTCAAAACTCAAAACCCAGGAGAATATATTGTTGAGCAATTTAGTAAGGCAGCCAAAAGTTCAGATTTGTTTTCGCTTAATGATGTACCTTTGCAAATTATATTTGCCCCCCCCCCTCCCCCATCCCCCTCCCATCCACCACTGCCATATAAGGCTTAGTAATTGATGATACGATATGTAGACTGATTGACCTTAAGATCTATTGGTTTTACATAGTACAGGGCTCAATTATTGCCAATATTGCAATAAATCAATCTCCAATTTATCTCTGAGCAACCCAGGGGTCAGATGTAAATGGGAATAAACCATTTCGCAATTGGGCCGTATTTTACCCATTCTACTATAATACACTAAACGAGGCATCAAAATTTACTAGACCTCCTTTATGCTCCCACATCAGGTGATTAATGTCTCGTCCAATACAGTTCTGGTAATTTCATATTTTTTCGGGAGAATCTGCACAAAGCCCCCTCCCCCGCACACCCCGCACAACCCGCACACACATATACTAAATGAGTAAGTTAACACATCCAAACCCACATACACATGTACACAAGAGTAGGACTGGTCGTAGAATGTAACGTGATTTGGTATCGAGTGGCGACTGCCTTGTTTAGAATACAGAAAATGGCATGCACTGAAAATAATGAGACGGTTATTTGGCATGATTGGACACTTTGAAGAACTGGCTTTTTCCAGTTTTTGGAGAAAGTGAACTAAGTTGATAAAAAAGATTGTTTGAATACGATGGACAAAACCACCTGTTATGTAATTAGGGCATTTATAATGTTATGATGATGACGAAACTCTCAATAAAAATAATTATCAATAATATTAATAAGTATTACTACTACTAAACTGACTAATACTACTACTAATAATACAATACATTAATATTGACACCCGTATCATTTATGGTCTTTGCGTTTTACTCATATACATGTAT